TGCTGAACATAATACTACACAAACATTAGATGTTGCCATGGTTTAATTGCACGGATTGTTGTCATTGATGGGAAAATGAATTCCAGAGTTTATCAAAACATTTTGCAGGAAAACGTACGACCATCTGTCCGCCAACTGAAGCTCCGCAGAGGATGGGTGATGCAACAAGACAATGACCCAAAGCATACAAGTAATTCAACAAAACAATGGCTGCAACAGCACAGAATATGCCTTGTGGAGTGGCCCAGTCAGAGTCCTGACCTCAACCCGATTGAAATGCTGTGGCATGACCTTAAGAGAGCGATTCACACCAGACATCCCAAGAATATTGCTACACTGAAACAGTTTTGTGAAGAGGAGTGGTCCAAAATGACTCCAGATCGTTGTGCAGGTCTGATCTGCAACTACAGGAAACGTTTGGTTGAGGTTATTGCTGCCAAAGGAGGGTCAACCAGTTATTAAGTCCAAAGGTTTACATACTTTTTCCTCCCTGCACTGTGAATGTTTACATGTTATGTGCAATTAAACCATGGCAACATCTAATGTTTGTGTAGTATTATGTTCAGCAGACTGTGTTCTTCTATTGTTGTGACTTAGATGACGTTCAGAGCACATTTTATACCCAATTCATGCAAAACTCCATGTAATCCCAAGGGGGTTCACATACTTTTTCTTGCAACTGTATACCAGTCATTAAAGAGTCCCTAAAAATGGGAACAATGGCTTTGAAATGACAGAGCTCAATTCTTTAAGGACTCGTGGGTGTATGCCACCCGGTCCAGGTGCTTTATTCACCTTTATTCTGTCTAAATATTTCTGGGTCATATCAATTGTGAGCCAATGTGGATCATCTGTAGCTGTGTCAATACCATGCCCATTATAGACAAGAGCTCTCCCATGCTCCTTTGTATACACAGAGCTGAAGAAGGTATTTAATACATTTGCCTTCTCTTTGTCCCCAGTCACCCACTCTAGATTATGTTGGGAGGGGTCTACATCCTCGGACTGGACCTTTTATAATATATTTGATGAATTTGGGAGCCTGTTCTACTTTCTTTTGCAATCAGTTGTTTTGTTTTGAATTTTTGCAGCCTTGACTTCTTTTTTACATACTCTGTTATATTCTTTGTAACTTTCAAACAATGATAGTGTTTCTTCATTTTTATGTTTTTTAAAAGCTTTTCTTAGTATTTATAGCTATTTTACTTTATCCGTTAGCCACATAGGTTTAATTTTTAACCTTTTAAAACTTTTTGCAAATGGGAATATATTTTGCAATGTGTTCGCATACGGTCGTTTTGAAGAATGCCCATTTCTGTTCTTTGTTCTTCGATCCCAATAATCCCTCACAGTCTAAGTATTGGAGAGCAGCTCTCAGCCTTGGAAAATGTACTCTGTTAAAGTTAAGTGTTTTTATCTTTCCAGTATGTGCTTGTTGTTTACAGCTAACATAAAAATAAACTCGGTGCCCGGAGAGTGCGCATGCGCGGCCGGCGGGACGGACATGTCCCATTGAGGCTCTGTATCCCCGTCGGGTGACAGCGCCACGAAGCAGCGGGTCTCGGCCCGCAATCTACCCCAGGGGGACCCGATCCCGGCAGCAACCCTCCCAGGGTCCGATCCGCCCTGGTCTGCGGTGGATCCCCTGCAGCAGGTCGGAGAAATCCGACAGGACACGTGTCCCTGCGGCGAGCTCCGCACAGGCCCACCCACCACAGCCTACACTATACCCTGGGCAGAGGAGAGAGAGAAAAGGGGGGCTGAGAACTTCATAACAGCCCCCCCGACTGACAAGCGGCAGAATGGTTAAGGGGCACCCCGGCACCAGGTCCCCCCTTCTACCAAATCAATCAAGGAGGCCCTGGCAAAGGCCTCCACAAAGATGGCCACCGCCCCAGCACATGGAGGCAAGAAGATGACAGGTACATATGCAGCCCTACAGGATCCGCAGCCCAGCCATCCCTGCACGTCTGAGGGTGAGTCTGACACTGAAACAGATGTCCCTGCACAAGCCCTGATGCCTGACCTTGCAACCCCTGACCTGTTGACCCGCTTTGAAAAAATGCTACACAAAGCCTTGAAGCAAACATCGGACCGCATCACTGCCACGCTATCTAGGGAAATCCGTGAACTAGGGCAACGCACTGTGGACCTAGAGCAGAGGGTAGATGGTCTTGATGCCACGCTTCAGACACATACGGATGACCTTGACCTCCTGCATGACGAAAACGCAACATTATTGACACGACTGGAGGACTTTGAAAACCGGGCACGACGCTCAAATCTGCGCATTCGTGGCCTTCCGGAAACGATTGTCGATCTCCAATCGACAGTAACAGCTCTGTTCCAAGAGCTTGCCCCAGCTATCCCAATCGAAAGATTGGAATTGGATAGAGTACACAGGGCATTAGCGCAACGACGCACGGATGGTCCACCACGTGACATTATAGCCAAGCTCCACTTTTTCCGCACCAAGGAGCAACTCCTACAAGCTGCCCGTAACGCAGAATCTCTACAGTTCCAGGGTCATTCATACCAATTATTCCAGGATCTATACCCCACAACAATCACCAAGCGCAGGGCTATGAAACCTCACCTACAAGCACTTCAACAACACGCTATACCGTATAGGTGGAGCTTCCCCTTTGCAGTGCGATTCCGATTCCAATCCCGGGATTACACCTGCAAGACTCCAGAAGACCTACTAGACACCTTGCGGATCTTACAACTCCATTCCTCAGCGACACCTTCAGAAAGCGCCAAGCGGAGGTCCACATCCTGCTCGCCACGGAAGTCCCTCCCCACGCGTGCCACGGCAGGTGTCAGGAATGGACTGGCCAGCAATAGTGGGACTCACCTGCCTTGTGAGCTGCAGTACCAGGGCTGGCCAGCGGGTGCTCCCAGCAATCAGAGACTCAACCTTGCAGCCAGTCAAACACCTGGAACTAATTATACTGGTGTATTTAAGGGACATTCAGACCTGCAGACTCTGCCTTGGTGTTGTGTTTCTCTTGGGCCCTGTATCCTGTTCCTGCTCCCTGTTCCTGTCTGATTCTCTGCTGACCCTGCTCTGATCCCTGGCTTGTCTGACCATTCTCCTCTGCCTGACCCTCTGTACCACGCTGCCCGCTACCTGCTGAACCTGGCCTGTGACCCCGACCATTCTCCGCTTGCTCCCCCTGTACCTACCTGCCCGATTGATATTGACCCGGCCTGCCTGACGACGCTTGCATTGTATGTACTGTTATCTGTGGGTGGTTTGGTTTGGTTTGTTTACACTGTGTTATGTTTTAGTATTGCACTGCGTTTATGTTTGTATGGTTAGTGTTATTAAATTACATTGTTTATAACATATCTGAAGTCTGCGTTTCCCTGCGTCAGTCACACACCTCTGGTCATACCCGGGAGCCCTGACATTACACCAAGGCCAATCCTGACCAGAAGTGGCTGCACAGGGAAGCCATCTTGGTTTGTTGATGGGAAGGATGGATCTGGATGAGGTTGCGTATTTATATCTGCTAGTGTTTGATGACAGGGAGTATGTTTATCAAACTCTGAAGGAGTATACCCGGGATGAACTGCTAGAATGTATACGGCTCGCTCATGTTCTAGTAGATCAGGGCATAGAGTTCTCTGAGGTGCAGCCATTGATTGAGGTTTGTGCTGAGTTGGTTTCATCTGGTACCCCCGAATGCAGGGATGAATTTTTGCCACCATTTAGTGCAGACCAGGTAGAGTCCCTGGTGTGGTTATTAGAGGATGATGTGGGTTACTTTCTGGAGCGTTATTCCACATGTTCACCACAGATACTAAGAGATTGTATAAACGCAGTGCAGTCTTTGGTCAGACAGGCTTTGTGTAAGCTCAGCTTTGTTCAACCCATACTGCAGACATGGACAGACTTGTTGCACCCAGCCTCAGTCAGCTTACAAAGACCCAGACCTGCTTCTAATCTATTTCCTCAAAACTCTATTCCTGCATTCCCAACAGCTCCTCCTGTCCTGCGATCTACTGCATGTCGTTTGCAGACCTGCGTTTACTTGCAGTGCTCCAGTAGTTAAAACCAGAAAAAAGCGAAAATTCTTTCCAACCAATACCATCCTGCCAGTATCCAAACCGGTGAACCTGCCTTCCGTGGTTCAGCCTGAAGCCTCTACTCAGCCTGAATCCTCTACTCAGCCTGATGCCTGTACGCGGCCTGATGCCTCTACTCGGCCTGATGCCTCTACTCGGCCTGATGCCCTCCACTCGCCTGAAGCCTCTACTCGGCCTGAAGCCTCTACTCAGCCTGAAGCCTCTACTCAGCCTGAATCCTCTACTCAGCCTGATGCCTGTACGCAGCCTGATGCCTCTCTTCAGCCTGATGCCTCTCTTCAGCCTGATGCCTCTACTCAGCCTGAAGCCTCTACTCAGCCTGAAGCCTCTACTCAGCCTGAAGCCTCTACTCAGCCTGATGCCTCTACTCAGCCTGATGCCTCTACTCAGCCCTGATGCCTTTACTCAGCCGGATGCCTGCATTCAGCCTGATGCCGCTACTCAGCATGATGAACTGATCCAGCCTGACGATCCTATTAGGCCAGTTGACTCGATGCCCGCTGTTGATCCAGATGATCCGGTACCTGATCCGGTGCCCGCTGTCATGCCAATTGACTCAGAGCCCGCTGTCGTACCTGGTGACTCGGTGCCCACTGCCTTGCCAGATGACGCGCGGTGCCCGCTGGCGAGCCAAATGACCTGATGCCTGGTGACCCAGTGCCCGCTGTCATACCTGGTGACCCGATGCCCGCTGTCAAGCCAGACAATCCGGTACTTGATGACCCGGTGCCCACTGTCATGCCAGTTGACTCAGAGCCCGCTGTCGTGCCTGGTGACTCGGTGCCCACTGCCTTGCCAGATGACGCGGGTGCCTGCTGGCGAGCTAAATGACCTGATGCCTGGTGACCCAGTGCCCGCTGTCATACCTGGTGACCTGATGCCCGCTGCCGAGCCAGACGATCCAATGCCTGGTGACCCGGTGCCCACTGCCTTGCCAGATGACGCGGTGCCCGCTGGCAAGCCAAATGACCTGATGCCTGGTGACCCAGTGCCCGCTGTCATACCTGGTGACCCGATGCCCGCTGTCGAGCCAGACAATCCGGTACCTGATGACCCGGTGCCCGCTGTCGTGCCAATTGAGTCAGAGCCCACTGTCGTGCCTGGTGATTCGGTGCCCGCAGTCTTGCCAGACGACTCCCGGTGCCCGCTGTTCCGCCAGTTGACTCGATGCCCGCTGTTCCCTGCCAGACGACTCGGTGCCCGCAGTCTTGCCAGATGACGCGGTGCCTGCTGGCGAGCTTAAATGACCTGATGCCTGGTGCCCCCAGTGCCCGCTGTCATACCTGGTGACGATGCCCGCTGTCGAGCCAGACGATCCAATGCCTGGTGACCCGGTGCCCACTGCCTTGCCAGATGACTCGGTGCCCGCTGGGCAAGCCAAATGACCTGATGCTGGTGACCCAGTGCCCGCTGTCATACCTGGTGACCCGATGCCCCGCTGTCGAGCCAGACAATCCGGTACCTGATGACCGGTGCCCGCTCTCGTGCCAATTGAGTCAGAGCCCACTGTCCGTGCCTGGTGATCGGTGCCCGCAGTCTTGCCAGACGACCCGGTGCCCGCTGTTCCGCCAGTTGACTCGATGCCCGCTGTTCTGCCAGACGACTCGGTGCCCGCAGTCTTGCCAGACGACTCGGTGCCCGCAGTCTTGCCAGACGACTCGGGTGCCCGCAGTCTTGCCAGACGACTCGGTGCCCGCAGTCTTGCCAGACGACTCGGTGTCCGCAGTCTTCGCCAGACGACTCGGTGCCCGCAGTCTTGCCAGACGACTCGGTGCCCGCAGTCTTGCCAGACGACTCAAAGCCTGCTGTTCCGCTAGTTGGCTCGGTGCCCGCAGTCTTGCCAGTTGACTCGGTGCCCGCAGTCTTGCCAGTTGACTCGGAGCCCACTGTCGTGCCTGGTGTTGACTCGGTGCCCGCCGCTCCGCCTGGGTGCCCGAGACCTGTCGCTCCGCCTGGGGGTCCGGCGCCCGTCGCTCCGCCTGGGGGCCTGAGACCTGTCGCTCCGCCTGGGGGCCTGAGATCTGTCGCTCCGCCTGGGGGCCTGAGACCTGTCGCTCCGCCTGGGGGTCCGGCGCCCGCCCGCTCCGCCTGGGGGCCCGAGTCCTGTCGCTCCGCCTGGGGGGTCCGGCCGCCCGCCGCTCCGCCTGGGGGCCCGAGACCTGTCGCTCCGCCTGGGGGCCCTGAGCCCTGCCGCTCCACCTGGGGGCCGAGACCTGTCGCGCCCGCCTGGGGGCCCGGCGCCCCGCCGCTCCGCCTGGGGGCCCGAAGGACCTGTCGCCCCGCCTGGGGGCCCGATGCCTGTCGCTCCGCCTGGGGGCCCGATGCCCTGTTGCCCCTCCGCCTGGGGGCCCGGCGCCCCCGCTCCGCCTGGGGGCCCGAGACCTGTCGCTCCGCCTGGGGGCCCGATGCCTGTCGCCCCACCTGGGGGCTCGATGCCTGTCGCCCGCCGGGGCCCGATGCCTGTCGCCCCGCGCTGGGGGCCCGATGCCTGTCGCCCCTCCTGGGGGCCCGGCGCCCACCGCTCCGCTTGGGGCCCGATGCCTGTCGCCCCGCCTGGGGGCCCGATGCCTGTCGCCCCGCCTGGGGGGCCCGATGCCCGATGTCGCCCGATCCTGGGGGCCTGGCGCCCGCCGCTGTGCGCTCTGGGGGCCCGGAGTCCAGCCCGATGTGCCTCTGCCCGGGGGCCCGATGCCTGTGCCCCTGCCTGGGGGCCCGATTGCCTGTGTGCCTCTGCCCGGGGCCCAGTTCTGACCCGTGCCTGTGCCCTGCCCGGGGGCCCGATGCCCGATGTGCCTCTGCCTCGGGGCCCGTGCCTCTGCTTCACCTGGTAATCCGCCCGATGTGCCTCTGCCCGGAGTCCAGCCCGATGTGCCTCTGCCCGGAGTCCAGCCCGATGTGCCTCTGCCCGGAGTCCAGCCCGATGTGCCTCTGCCCGGAGTCCAGCCCGATGTGCCTCTGCCCGGAGTCCAGCCCGATGTGCCTCTGCCCGGTGCCCTCTGCCCGGTGTGTGCCTCTGCCCGGTGTGCCCCTGCCCGCCTCGTGTGCCCCTGCCCGGTGTGCCGCTGCCCGGTGTCCTCTGCCCGGTGTGCCTCTGCCCGGAGTCCTGCCCGGTGTGCCAGTCTTTGATATCCCGCCAGTTACCAGACCCGGGCGGTGGAACATTTTGCCCAGCTAGGACTGTTTGGAGCGTCCTGAGGCCGCTCCTTGAGGGGGGGGTACTGTCAGGAATGGACTGGCCAGCAATAGTGGGACTCACCTGCCTTGTGAGCTGCAGTACCAGGGCTGGCCAGCGGGTGCTCCCAGCAATCAGAGACTCAACCTTGCAGCCAGTCAAACACCTGGAACTAATTATACTGGTGTATTTAAGGGACATTCAGACCTGCAGACTCTGCTTGGTGTTGTGTTTCTCTTGGGCCCTGTATCCTGTTCCTGCTCCCTGTTCCTGTCTGATTCTCTGCTGACCCTGCTCTCCTCTGCCTGACCCTCTGTACCACGCTGCCCGCTACCTGCTGAACCTGGCCTGTGACCCCAACCATTCTCCTCTTGCTCCCCCTTGTACCTACCTGCCCACGATTGATATTGACCCCCGGCTGCCTGACGACGCTTGCATTGTATGTACTGTTATCTGTGGGTGTGTTGGTTTGGTTTGTTTGCACTGTGTTAATGTTTTAGTATTGCACTGCGTTTATGTTTGTATGGTTAGTGTTAATTAAATTACATTGTTTATAACATATCTGAAGTCTGCGCGTTTCCTGCGTCAGTCACACACCTCTGGTCATAACCAGGGAGCCCTGACAGCAGGCCACTCAACCTCCACAAACGGGGCCGCTTTTCATCATCTCGCGGGTCTATCTTCACAAGATACCATGGACTGAACTGTGTCTCATGTTTTATCTCCTTCTTCTTTCACAATTATTTTAGCCACACACAAAGCAGAGCAAAACGACGGTGTACCACCGTGGGCTGTCATTACTGTCATTGTGGTTAATACCCGTTGATATCCTCTCTCCCTCTATCTGTTAAATTCTGGTTGCCCCATTACCTGGGAATTGTTTGGCTCCCCCTCAGTGGCCCCATTTTAGTTTAGTTTTGTTTTGAGAAGGCCTAGGCTCTGGCGGCATACGATGCTACCGACGCCCCCTTCCCCCTGTGATGTCTCACTGACACTGCTAATGCCAGTCTGAGTTTGGGATAGCGTGATCCATCTTGTATGTATTTCCTTTATGTACCTGTATTTTCTTTTTTTGTTTTTTTTTTTCTCTACCGGAACACTCGCCACTTTTTATCAATCAAGTTGCTGTCATCCTCATTGGACCGGATGTACCATGCGTTATGGATTATTTAATACACGCTTTGGGCTTCAGACTATTGTTCCCTAGCCCACCCTGATTTAGGGGTGATCCCTCCTCGGGAACCCATCTTTTTAGGCCTTCAATGGACTTTTAAACGCCCCTTCTTGTCCTGTTACCTCTCCCATATTCGGACCCCTCCTTCCCTCCCTCCAACATGAACTTCAAGACCGCAAAACAAGCCCACAGTGCCCCCC